TATTTATTATGTATACAATATTCTGTCTTTGTGTATGTCTGCAGGCCAGAAGAGGGCACCAGACCTCATTACAGATGGTTGTGAGTCACCATGTAGTTGCTGGGAATTGAACTCAGGACCTTTGGAAGAGCAGGCAATGCTCTTAACCACTGAGCCATCTCTCCAGTCCCTGGGATTCCATTCTTAGTATCCATGGTGGCTCACAATGGTCTAACTCCAATTCTGATGGCCTCTTCTGGCACCAGGCTCAAACGTAGTGCACAGATATAAATGTATACAAAATGCCTATATTCATACAATATAGGTTAACTTAAAAACATAAGATTGGCAGTGGTGGCACATGCCTTTAATCACAGCACTCTGGAGGCAGGAGGCAGAAGTTAAGCAGATATCTGAGTTTGAGGCCAGTCTGGTCTACAGACTGAGTTCCAGGATAGCCAGGGCTACATACACAGAGAAACCCTGTCTCAAACAAAACAAAAACAAACAATACAACTTAAAAAGAGAAAAAAGAAGAGGGAAACTTGGTCCTGGTGATGAGGGTGGTCAGCGGAAGAAGTGTGCTTGGCATTGGCCCGTGTCCCTTTCCTGACACTGACTTGCCCATGCCTGAGGTCCTGGCTTCCTAACACAGCAAAGTCAGCCATCTCTCTTATATGTACCAGCTATATACAGCTGCTTTTCCATATCCACAGGTGACTGGTACCAGGAGACCCCTACCTGGCCATGGATACCAGTATCAAAGCATGGTGAAATGGCTTCTATGAAACGGCATATTTGCATATAACCACCACGCATCCTCTAGTCCACTTAAAATGCAACATAAACACTGTGTAAATAATTTTCACGCAGTGAGTCATGACAGATGGCCACCCATTCAGGAGATGAGTGACTTGTTTGCAAGGATGTTCAATGAGACAGAGTCATGCTATGTAGCCCAGTTTGGACTTGGATTCCCAACCTTCCTGCCTCAACAACCCGAGTGCTGGAAGGACAGGCATACGCCAGCACGCTCAGCTACCTGTCTCGATGAAGCTAGCTGGTAGGACAAAGATGATTGGAGTCTATATAATCGGAATCTAGTAGAATGGGCTTCGCCATGGCTCTGTTGGTTGACATTGTTTCAAACATAGACTCCCCACATTGTTTTCCCCTCTGTAAATGGAAATATCTCACGGTTGTTAGGTTTATTAAGCGAGATAGTTCTACCAAACAAGGTTAGTTGGGGTTGAAGGATGTTTTTGATTCGCTGGTTGAATTGGTCTAATCATGAGCCCACAGAAAGAGATAGCTGTTGGTCTTTTGTGTGTCCCTGCCTCTGTGTGAAGATCACAGTTGACAATGGGTTGCTCTTGGCCTATCTTTTTCATAGTAAAAAAGATTTAATTCATGTGTATGAGAATTTGTCTGCATGCATGTCTGTGCACTGTGTGCATTCAGTGCCCACAGAGGTCAGAAGAGGGCATTGGCTCCCCTGGAACTGGAGTTATAGATGCTGGTGAGCCGCCACGTGGGTGCTGTGAACTTGACGGGTCTCTCATTGGAACCTGTAGCTCACACAGTCAGCAAGACTAGCTGACCAGACTGCTCCAAGGACCCCACTTCTCTGCCTCCCAGCATTGGGATGACAGGCACAAGCCACACTGGCTATGAAAACGCCTCATGCATGTGAAGCAAGCATTTCACAGGTATCTATCACTCCAGCCCCAATTAACCTTGTTTTCAAAAGCTGCTCCATTTAGTAAGACTCAGAAATGTATAAAACTTACTTTCACATTTTCTGAAGAGAAAACATGCGCAGGGTCTAAATTTGGAAAGAGGTCAAACGGCCGAGCCTATAAAGAAACTAGACTCTCCGGGACGCCGGTTTAGTGTTCCCTCAGCTCAGTAGCTGTGATCTGGTAAATCGGAGGCGTCTCGGAGTTTTCATATGCTAGAGGCTGAGGTGGTGACAACTATCTTGTCTGAATTGACCTCAACTGTGACAGGTGTTGGAGGCAATGCACAAGGAGTGCAGAACTCAGACCTGCCTGCAGGGGGCACTCTGCAAATGCTCTTCCCGAGCCTCCACTTCCTGGAGCCTTTGCAACCTGGCTGTAAACTACCTCTGCACCAGTTTACCGCCCAAGCCCCAGGTCCCAAGTTCCCTTTCCCTCTGATTTCTGCTCCCTACCATCTCTAGTTCTGTTCTCCCCGACCTCAGGTCTATCCAGCACCCCAGTCTTTCTGGCTGGCTTGAAGCATCTCCCCAGTCCTTGCTCCCTCTTCCCTCCCCAGATCTCCGCCGGCACCCCAGCACCCACGATCTCCCGCGTCTTTCCCTCACTCAGCTCCCACGCAGCGAGAATCATCCATACCTTCGCGCCCAAGCTACAGCTTCCTGGGGCGGGGCTCAGGTTGGAAGCAAGGGCGGGACTTCCGGCGGCGGGGAGGAAACCGCAAGCAAGCACCCATGGCTTGGTGAGTGGAGTTACGGTGTCCTCCTGCACTAAAAGGGTGCCTGCTGCATGCGTGAGTGCGTGGAGTGGATGACGGTAGTTGGGAGCTCAATGTCTCGGGCCGCAGAGGGGCGCTCTCAGCCTCTGTCCCGGCATGCGAGTCGCGTGTTCACGATGTTTGTTCATGTACAGACGTGAGTGAGTGAGGATTTCTGCGTGGAAATAAGTGGATAGGCTGGGGACATGGTTTAGCGAATAAAGCTGTGCATGCTTTGAGGACTGGAGTTTGGATGCCCGGAACCCACAGAATACTGGGCTTGTGTGCTGACCAGATGTGACGCCAGTGCTAGGGAGGCAGAGACGGGCCCCTGGAGCAAGCTGACAAGCTAGACTGGCTGGTTGGCGACTTTATCTCAATATGTAAGATAGGGAGCAAACCAGAAGGACATCCCTTGTCAACTTTGGGATCTCATAGACTCGCAGACACAAATGTGCACACGCGTACTAATACACATGCTCGCATACCGTACATACATATGCAAAAATAAAAAAATAGGTTGAACCAGGACCTCCTACCTGCATCTCTGTAATGCCTACCTGCTAACTCCTTTCTCGCCAACAGGTACCCGAAGCTTGTAGGTGTTCCCCTTAAGGCTCAGAGATTCCACACAGCTGCGTGTCGCTATAAAGCTCGGACGGGTGCCGAGCACCTGTGGCTGAAGCGCCACCTAAGGGACCCGTTTGTGAAGGCTGCAAAGGTGGAGAGTTACCGCTGCCGCAGCGCCTTCAAGCTCCTGGAGATGAATGAGAAGCATCATATCTTGCGACCTGGCCTCCGGGTGCTGGACTGCGGGGCGGCTCCCGGAGCCTGGAGTCAGGTGGCGGTGCAGAGAGTCAATGCCACAGGCGCAGGTGGGATGTGCATGTCACTAGGCACTACCAGCTCCTCTGGCTGCCATGAGTTGGAGGGAATGATAGCAGCTCTTTATTCAGAGACATTGTCTGAACAGCTTTCTAAGTTGGCTTAGAGATGATAGTTATTGAAATGGGACACAGGCTGGGGAAGGCGCTCAGCGGCTAAGTTAAGCAGGTGTGCTGGTGCAGGCCTATGATCGTAACATTTGGGAGGAGAAGGCAGGAGGATTAGAAGTGTAAGATCATCCGAGCTACACAGTAGGTTTGGAGTTCAGGACAGGTGATCCCGTCTTGGGGGATGGGAGGACGGGGACAGGAGATGGGGGGCGGGGGACACGAACAGGCAAGCCTGTGGGGGAGGGCGGGGCAGGGGCGGGAATGATGTTGATGTTGTGGAGATGGCTTCTTCAGCAGTCGTTCTCAACATGTGGGTTGCGACCCCTTCGGAGTCCCGTACTTATTTACATTACTATTCAGAGCAGCAGCAAAATTATAGTGATGAAATAGCAACAAAATAATTTTACGGTTAGGGGTCACCATACCATGAGGAACTGTATTAAAGGGTCACAGCTTAGTGGATAAAAGGTGCTTGCTGATAAGTCTGATGGCCTAAGTTCTCTCCCCAAGACCTACACGGTGAGGAGAGAACTGATATTCGAAAGTTGGTCTTTGGCTTCACAAGTGTGCATGGAGCAACTTACACACACGGTAAACCAAGGGTTATTTTAAAAAGAACCAAGAAGCAAACTAAAAAATAGGCCACATGAGTTGGCAGCCAGCCTGGGCTGGATACCAAGCCCCTGTCTCAAAACAAAACAAGAAACCCCACAAAACTAAACAACAACATCTTAGTTCGCTTTCTATCGCATGGTGAGCTCCACGACCAAAACGACTTGGTAGGGAAGACTTTCTTTCAGCTTACATGAAGGGAGGCCAGAGGCAGGAGCCGAAGCAGAGCTCTTAGGGGCACTCTGCATACTGACTTGCTCCTCCAGGCTTGCTCAGCCTGTTTTCTTATGGACTCAGGCCCACCTGCGTGGGGTGGCACTGCTCACAGTGGGCTGGGCCATTAGGAGGCTGTACAGGCACCTGCACTCCAGTGCACATCCACACATGCAAACACACACATGTCAATAAACAATAAATCTAAAAGCCAAACCAAAACAACAGAGCCTGCTTACTCTTGCCTCTGATCCTTAACACTCTGGAGGCAGAGGTAGCAGTTCTGAGTTTGAGGTCAGCCTGGTCTACATAAGTGAGGTTGTCTCAAGGAATAAAAAGCAAACAACCATTAAAAAAAATAAACAAAAAGCAATGTTGGGAACTGGAGTTGGGTGTAGTGGTACCTACCTGTAACCCCCAACCACTCAGTGTGTTGAGACAGAGGAGCTGAAGTTTGGGACAGCCTGGGCTACCTAGTGAGATTCCTAATTTAGAACCAAAACAGGCAGAATAAAATAAAAAGATAGTTGGGAGAAGAGTCCTAGAGAAGAGGAGGCTGGGGTAGGGAACTGACAGCAGAGTGGGATTCTCCCTGTCCTGTGGTCCTACCTCCACCTGTCATGCAGGATGACCGAGACACCATTTCCTTTGCAAGTCTCAGCTTCCTCAGCTGGCCCAAGGGGAGTAGAGGACACCCTTCCCCACACAATGTGTCTTTTATTTTCTTCAACTTTGAGAGGCAGGATCTCACTTGGTAGCCCAAATTGGCCTTGAACGTGTGATGATCCTCCTGCCTCAGGCAGCCAAGTGCTGGGAATATAGGTCTGTGCCATCACATCTACCTCTGTGTCTTCATATAAAAGGCCTCTTGTGGACAGAGATGTGTGTTAACTGGTTTTCTTGGTCCTGGTGCCTGGCTTATATTTTGGTAGGGAGATTCACAGTGTAATAACACATTCCGTTGCTTCCATAGACTCCAGCTCTCCTGTGGGCTACGTGCTCGGGGTTGATCTTCTTCACATATTCCCTCTGGAAGGAGCAACTTTCCTATGCCCTGCTGATGTGACTGACCCCAAAACTTGCCAGAGAATTTTAGAACTGCTTCCCAGAAGGAGAGCGGACGTGATTCTCAGTGACATGGCACCCAACGCCACGGGGATCCGAGACCTCGATCACGACAGGCTCATCAGCTTGTGCCTGACCCTTGTGGACATGGCTGTGGATATCCTGCATCCCGGGGGAACACTGCTGTGCAAAACCTGGGCCGGAAGTAAAAGTCACCTGCTACAGAAGAGACTGACCCAGGAATTCCAGAATACGAGGATCGTGAAACCAGAGGCCAGCAGGAAGGAGTCTTCAGAGGTGTATCTCTTAGCCACGCAGTACCGGGGAGGGAAGGGCTCCATGGAGCAGTGAGTCTGCCCTGCCCTCTGGGGGTGCTTTCCTGACAGTGGTTGGGATCGGAACTGTATTGTGGATGTGGACAGCACCCAACCAGGCACCTCTGAGTTTTAAAGAGATGAAAAATGTATTCGAGGTTCGTGAAAAATGATAAAAGTGGAGCCAGCACGGTGGCTCAGTGATAAACGGTGCCTGCTACTGAGCCTGATGCCCTGAGTGTGCTCTCCAGGACCCCCACAGTGGGAGGAGAGAGCCAGCTCCCGAAAGTTGTCCATCTCACCCCCATGTGCACACACACGAGCAGATGTTTCGGGATGGTTTCTGTCAATCTGACATTTCTTTCTGGGAAGAAAGAATCCAGCTGAAGAACCGCCTCCATCAGATTGGCCTGTGGGCAAATCTGTGAGAGGAGACATTTTCTTGATTAATGATTGACGTGGGAGGAGGGCCTAGCCCAATAGGAGCAGCACCACCCCTGGGCAGGTAGTCCTGAGTTGTGTAAGAAAGCTAGGTGAGCAAGACACAAAGAAGGAGCCAGTCAGCAGGGTTCATCAGTGGCCTCTGCTTCAATTACTGCCTCCAAGTTCTTGCCTTGAGTATTAGCCTTGACTTTCTTCAGTGATTGGTTAGACTGGGATGAGGAAGTCAAGTAAACCCTTTCCTCCCAAGGATGCTTTTAGGTGGTGGAAACAAAACTAAACAGTCTTCTATATCATGATTTTATCTTTCTGGCTTTTTATTTTTTAATTCGTTTTTGAGATTGGGTTTCACTCTGTAGCCTGAGCTGGCTATGAGCTCACAATCCTCTTGCCTCACCTCCCAAGGGCTGGGATTACAAGTGGATATTGCCACACCTGGTTCATGATGTGTTTGAAGAGAGTTTTGACAAAGACAGATGGAGATTGAAGGCTATAAAAGGGAGGGGACAAAAGCAGGTTGTGGCCTTTAATTCTGCTCTCTGGAAGCAGAGGCAGGTGGGTCTCTGTGAGTTCAAGGTCAGTCTGGTCTACAGAGTGAATTCCAGGACAGCCAGGGCTACACAGAGAAACCCTTTGTCAAAAAAAGAACCAAACAAAACAAGAAACCCAAAACTTGGAGGGGCAGGAGAGATCTGAGGTGAAGTGCTGTTCCTCCAGAGGACCCAGGTTCTCTGCGCTCACATGGCAGCTCACAACCATTAGTAACCTGAGCCCTTGGGATCTGACGCCCTCTTCTGGCCCCCATGGGTACTGCACTAATGTGCACAGACACCCACACACAAATTCAAAACAAAAACAAAAATCATGGAAAGAGCCACCTCTTTGTAGACCCAGAGAGAAGATGTGGCAGTTGTGTCTGTACCGCTGTCAGCGGTTCCCTGTGTGGTGAAGGTCTCTGCACTAACCGCAGTAGCCTGCTGGGCAATCCAGGGAAGGATTCCGCTCTGGCCCGGGTGAAAATGGCCGCCAGAGTTCTCAAAGGCTTTTCATGGGCAAATGTCTGCCCTGGGTGTTTGAAACAGTCGGGACATTTGAAGCCGGACTCACACTCTGGTGCCAAGCAGCTGCGGTTGCTGTGTGGCTCCCTTGGTGGATCTGTGGAGGGTCACAGAGGAGGGCGCCTACACCAGAGAGGGAGGATGCAAAACGTGGCTTTCACCTCAGAGCGGGTAAGAGAGAGTTTATCCTGGAGCCCAGGCTGAGTGACTGTGGCTCAGGAACACACATTTCGGTCACTCCGCATCCCATGTTCCAGCAGTATACTAGTTTGTTTAAGTTTTTATAGTAACAGAAGAAAATTCTAGGTCAAGCACTTTTTTTTTCTTTTCTTTTTGAGACAGGTCTCTGTGTAGCCCTGGCTGTCCTGGAACTCACTCTGTATACCAGGCTGGCCTCAAACACTGGGATTAAAGGCAGGCACTACCACCACCCAGCAATCAAGGCACCTTCCAAACACACTGGAAACATTAAGTAGTCAGCTACAGCCAGAGACATCTCGGCTGTACACCTCAGATGTTACCTGATGGTATTTAGCCTTTTAACTGGTGGATATTAAAGGTGTTAAGGATAATGCATCAGAAAGGTTTTATCTGTTACAGGATGTTAGGTCAGACACAGAGGTGGGCAGGGAATGGCCATTTAGGGAGGCTGAACAGTCAGAGTAAGTTTTAATTAGGCTCCAGACCTGCCACCTCCCAACCTCCCCCAAGCATTGAAGCTCTTATTGGTCCATCAGCACAGCAGAAGGTTAAATTGAAGACAGAATAGCTTTCTGCAGACTTTCTTAAAATTACACTGTTGAGCCTGGGGTGGTGGTAATGCTTTTAATCCCAACACTGGGCAGGTAGAGTTCCAGGATAGTTAGGGTTACACTGAGAAACCCCATCCTGAAAAAACAACAAAAGACACACTACACTGGCATCAGAGATGCACTGTTTACACTGTTCCCTAT